TGGTTTTATTTGATGTTTTTTTTTTTAATTTACCTTTTTCACTTTTTTTTTTAATTCATTTTTTTTTCACTTCACTTTATTGCTATCACACAGGGAAAACAATTCTCCTATGTGATAGCGTTTGTAGGTGACAGGCTCTCTTAATACAGAAGATGGAGTACAGCATTGTGCGGGATCTTCTGTACATCCCGGCTTGTGACAGCTGAGACAGGAAGTGCTGTGAGAACACACTAATCACACAGAGCACATTGGAGAATGTACATTCTCTGGTCTGCTCCCCGCTCTCCATCCTATAGTCATTTGCCGTGGTCCGAGTCCCCCAGAAGAGCAGGGCACCCCTAAAACCACGGCAGGGAGGTGGAAGGACAAGCAGGCTGCTACAAGTGATCTGGGCGGCTGTACAGCTGCCCAGATCACTTGTATAAAAAGAGCGGCGATGGCTCCCCCTGCTTGCCTGCAACAGGGCTAAATGTAGAAGACAAAAAACACCTGCCCGGCGCCCGGAACTGCATGTCCCAGGCATCGGGGGATAGGAATTGGGCACCCGAGAGCCTAAAAATCTCACTCCTGCAGATTCCAATGACAGCGATTTTGTTACAAGAAATGAGATGTACCATTGACTTCACACGGGGGGAGGAGGGACAACAAATGTCAGCCTTTTCTAAGTCCAGAAATCTTCCAGCTGAAAGAACTTGTTAGGAAAATGTCTCCTAAGGGGTCGGATTATATTTCGTTGCGGATGGGGAACGAATCTGTAAAAGTAACGGTTCCAGAGAGCGTAGCGTGCTGCGTGTAATGGTTATCGGCGGGACATCTCGTCGGGTGGTTTGATCAAGGCCTTCTGTAAACGGATATCTGGCAGATCCGTGCCGGCGCCAATTTACTAAACGCAGCTAATTAGAGGCATTAGCAGCTCATCCTGCACCACGCAGACGTGGAACGCATTGCCAAACGCTGGATGCGGCACCTCGTTCTCCTCCCTAATGGATTCTGTTGACCTATAAACCAATTTCGGCTGTTTTCTTTTTATGCCGGTTCGAGCTAATCGGGGTTTTTTTTTTTTCTTCTCCACAATAACATTTTCCGCTGTAGATTGCAAACGTGACTTTGCATCCAAGATTCTCATCCAAGTGAAATTTTTTTATGAGCGCCGTGCAGGCGGAACATTCGGGCAATGCATCTTATTAAGCGATCATCGCGTCTGCCAAGCTTCCCTTCCAATTACCTTTTTGTGAGAAGGCGAGAGCCGTCCTGTCACATTCCGCTCGGAAAGATAGTTCTCTCACCTCCCGATCTACTGAGCCGACCTGTGACAGTCTCATTGTCAGCTCGGCTAGAACTATGAGGTGAGTGGAAAGCACTCCCCTCATAGTTCTCCTTTAACATTGCTTGCTGGAAGCAATGCATGATGGGAGATGTAGTCTTGAGAAATGGAGATTGCGTCACATCAAGCTGCAGGGAAAGAGATGCAAAGCACACTGGGAGTCCAGGAAGTTGTTGGAAGTGATGGGTGGAGACTCTGGCAGATTTTAGGCAAGTAAAGAGAAATAAAATACATTGTATGCAGATTTTTGGGATATCGTAGGACAGAACTCCAGGTATTGATATCAGCAGTCCAACCTTCCCACCCATCTTGCCATCATCGTAATTGGGGATGCACCGATATCGGTATTTCGGTACTCGCCAATGCCAAATACTGATACCGGAAGTTCCATTAAGGAAGCCAGGCGGCATGTAATGACTCGCTACCCGACTTCCCGATTAGCAGGGAAGCCGTCTCAATGCTTCTCGTCACCAGGTGACAAGAAAGCATGGAGCCGGATTTCTAGCCAATCGGGAAGCCGGGTGCCGTGTAATGATGCAGCGCCTGCTTCCTGATTGGCCTGAAAGCCGGCTCCATGCTCCCTCGTCTCGAGGTGACGACGGAGCATGAAGCCGGCTTCCCGGCCAATCAGAAAGCCGGGCACTGCGTCATTACTCCGTGCCCAGCTTCCTGATTGGCCAGCTTTCCGACCAATCAGAAAGCCGGGCAGCGAGTCCTTACACGCTGCCAGGCTTCCTGATTGGCCTGAGGGAGCATGAAGCCGGCTTCGCTGCCAATCAGGAGGCGGGGCAGCGTGTAATGACTCACTGCCCGACTTCCTGATACCGGAAGCTCAAGTATGAGCACTCGCCCAAATACTCGACTAGTATCGGTATCGGGGCATCCTTAATAGTGATGGTACACATCCATCTGATGGGGGTGCTGTAAGAGAAAAGAACTGCTGAAGTTTAACTTCCTTAGCCACCTCTCCTCCTCTTGCCTCTTGATTGGATGATGAGGGAGCAGCAGTGCACTGATACCCTCCATGTTAGACTGACTGCATGGAGGATTGCTGTAGAACCCGTTCTTCCCTCTCTCAATACTGCTGAGCAGGAGATTTGGGGGAAAATGTAGTTCCGTGCATTTTCACCCAAGATTCACATGTTTTTCCAATTGAATCCATAAAAAAATGTGTGAATCCTGGGTGAGAACATTGACCTCTTATTTTCTGTATTGATGATTACAAAACCTCCTGGATCAGTGGCGGTCAACTTACCTGATATAGGGAGTAGTGATGAGCTCGGGCGTGTTCGCAAGCGCCTCGTGCCGAGCCCGCCAGGAAGCCGAAGGGCCACTGATGATATTCAGTCATTGCAAATGCTACAGAAAGCTGTCCGAGATGGACGACATGATCACTGGGGGAGGGGAGACTGAGGAAATGCTTCCACCTGCCTGCAGCAGACTGATCACTGAGGGAGGGGAGACTGAGGAAATGCTTCCCCCTGCCTGCAGCTGACTGATCACTGGGGGAGGGGAGACTGAGGAAATGCTTCCTCCTGCCTGCAGCAGACTGATCACTGGGGGAGGGGAGACTGAGGGAATGCTTCCTCCTGCCTATTGGTTGAACTCGATGGACTTGTGTCTTTTTTTTCAACCTGACTAACTATGTAACTGATGACATCATCTCAGCCCGGGCAAAGTCACTGACTGGAGGATGGACGGTTATAAGTTATTTGTAGTGTAGTCACCGCTCCAAGCTCGCTCCCGGGATGGACTACAATCTCATGTTTAGTTTACTAATTTGCATTGAGATTGTAGTCCATCCCGGGGGGCGGAGCTTGGAGCGGTGACTACTTTACAACACACACAGGGACTATGGGGAACAGACATAGCCACCCTCCAGGAAGGAAGGACAGTGTCAGAGATGATTGGAGGATCTACAGCCGAGTGATACACAAATAAGATACATTGTTGCTCGTAGTTTGGGGGGATTTGGATGTATATTGAAGTTTGACCTCTGGAGTTCGGTGTCGCTTGGGCCAGAATGAAGCCAGTAATTGCCGCATTGTGAGCCGCCATCCCTCTGGATGTGTATTTAAGTTCCAGAAATAAAATGGATGGCTTGTTAGCCGCTCCGTGGCGCGGTTCTGCCTGCGGGGATTTTCATTAACCACAATTCTCCTCTCCTGATGGATGACACGTTATTATTTCATCAGCTTTGCCCGCGGGAACGACGTTCCGTAAATGTTAAAATTCAGAGATGAAAATTTTAAATCTCCGGCGACTCCGTGAACAGAACCTGCCAAGCGAACGAATGTTCAGGCGGGAGAACGTCTGCTCCGGGCCGGCCCGCTAGATAGATCCCTGTGCTGGACCTCCTCTGATTGGCTCTGGATATGAGGCTGTCGCTGTTCCCGGGTTCCAGATCTCTTCTGTATCTTGTACAGTGCACAGAATCTCTCTCTCTCTCTCCCCCCCTCTCTCTCCAATGGGCATTAAGATTGAAGACTTTGATCACTACAAATTCCCAATCCAGACTGGTTTCTGCTCAAGTGTGTTATGCGAATCTTCCAGTGTTCAGTACAGTTTAAAAAAAAAAAACACTAAAAATAGCTGCAGTAACTACACAGATCAACAATACTACCTAATGACTTGCATGAAGCCCAAAGGCTACAGACAATGCGTTCAATACACTAAATAATGTGCTATTTTATGTCATGCCTATCACCCCTCTTGCTCTCTCTCACCCCTCTTGCTCTCTCTCCCCCCTCTTGCTCTCACTCACCCCTCTTGCTCTCTCTCACCCCTCTTGCTCTCTCTCCCCCCTCCCAACCAACTAATCGGTAATGAGAATAGTTGACAATTATCGGATAGTTGGTTGCATCCCTAATCAACTTTACATTTACTATAACAGCGTGTCCGTAAAAAAAAACTGAGAATCAAAGAGCTTTTCCCCGAAACTATATTCCCCGATGTGTATCTAAAATGTGACGGGACCTCGGCACTGCTCCTCTGGGTGAAGATCGTGTTCCCTGTGCTGGGTGGGCAATACTCAGACAATTGTCGGCGCGATTTCTCTTCTCGTTTTGATGTTGAAGATTTCTGGCGTTGTATTGTTGGTATGAAAATGTAGTTTATGTTCGTTGTGCTCCATCAGACGGGGGATGGTAATGTTCAATACGTAGGAGGTAAGGTCCTCTCCATCAGACGGGGGATGGTAATGTTCTATACGTAGGAGGTAAGGTCCTCTCCATCAGACGGGGGATGGTAATGTTCTATACGTAGGAGGTAAGGTCCTCTCCATCAGACGGGGGATGGTAATGTTCTATACGTAGGAGGTAAGGTCCTCTCCATCAGACGGGGGATGGTAATGTTGTATACGTAGGAGGTAAGGTCCTCCATCAGACGGGGGATGGTAATGTTGTATACGTAGGAGGTAAGGTCCTCTCCATCAGACGGGGGATGGTAATGTTCTATGCGTAGGAGGTGAGGTCCTCTCCTCTCCATCAGACGGGGGATGGTAATGTTCTATACATAGGAGGTGAGGTCCTCTCCTCTCCATCAGACGGGGTATGGTAATGTTGTGTACGTAGAAGGTCCTCTCCTCTCCATCTGATGGCCTTGTGTGATCTCCCCAGTCCAGCAGACGCTTCTGTGATGGAGTCCAAAATTCATTCATGTTCTCCTATTAATCCAGGAACCTGACACGAGGAGTCGGCCGATTCCGGGAAATTCTGAGGGCCGTAGAGACCAGAACCACCCAGAACCTGAGGATGGTGAGAGGATCAATTATGTTCTCCTGTGTGATGTTCTGTACTTTGTTATGGTATAGAAGCGCTCTCTAGAACCCATCTCCTTCATTGTGTCCTCAGTCTCTAACCATCTCCTCCATCATGTCCTCAGTCTCTAACCATCTCCTTCATTGTGTCCTCAGTCTCTAACCATCTCTTCCATCATGTCCCCAGTCTCTAACCATTACCTTCAGCATGTCCTCAGTCGCTAACCATCTCCTTCAGCGGGTCCTCAGTCTCTAACCCTCTCCTTCAGCATGTCCTCAGTCGCTAACCATCTCCTTCAGCGGGTCCTCAGTCTCTAACCCTCTCCTTCAGCATGTCCTCAGTCGCTAACCATCTCCTTCAGCGGGTCCTCAGTCTCTAACCCTCTCCTTCAGCATGTCCTCAGTCGCTAACCATCTCCTTCAGCGGGTCCTCAGTCTCTAACCCTCTCCTTCAGCATGTCCTCAGTCGCTAACCATCTCCTTCAGCGGGTCCTCAGTCTCTAACCCTCTCCTTCAGCATGTCCTCAGTCGCTAACCATCTCCTTCAGCGGGTCCTCAGTCTCTAACCCTCTCCTTCAGCATGTCCTCAGTCGCTAACCATCTCCTTCAGCGGGTCCTCAGTCTCTAACCCTCTCCTTCAGCATGTCCTCAGTCGCTAACCATCTCCTTCAGCGGGTCCTCAGTCTCTAACCCTCTCCTTCAGCATGTCCTCAGTCGCTAACCATCTCCTTCAGCGGGTCCTCAGTCTCTAACCCTCTCCTTCAGCATGTCCTCAGTCGCTAACCATCTCCTTCAGCGGGTCCTCAGTCTCTAACCCTCTCCTTCAGCATGTCCTCAGTCGCTAACCATCTCCTTCAGCGGGTCCTCAGTCTCTAACCCTCTCCTTCAGCATGTCCTCAGTCGCTAACCATCTCCTTCAGCGGGTCCTCAGTCTCTAACCCTCTCCTTCAGCATGTCCTCAGTCGCTAACCATCTCCTTCAGCGGGTCCTCAGTCTCTAACCCTCTCCTTCAGCATGTCCTCAGTCGCTAACCATCTCCTTCAGCGGGTCCTCAGTCTCTAACCCTCTCCTTCAGCATGTCCTCAGTCGCTAACCATCTCCTTCAGCGGGTCCTCAGTCTCTAACCCTCTCCTTCAGCATGTCCTCAGTCGCTAACCATCTCCTTCAGCGGGTCCTCAGTCTCTAACCCTCTCCTTCAGCATGTCCTCAGTCGCTAACCATCTCCTTCAGCGGGTCCTCAGTCTCTAACCCTCTCCTTCAGCATGTCCTCAGTCGCTAACCATCTCCTTCAGCGGGTCCTCAGTCTCTAACCCTCTCCTTCAGCATGTCCTCAGTCGCTAACCATCTCCTTCAGCGGGTCCTCAGTCTCTAACCCTCTCCTTCAGCATGTCCTCAGTCGCTAACCATCTCCTTCAGCGGGTCCTCAGTCTCTAACCCTCTCCTTCAGCATGTCCTCAGTCGCTAACCATCTCCTTCAGCGGGTCCTCAGTCTCTAACCCTCTCCTTCAGCATGTCCTCAGTCGCTAACCATCTCCTTCAGCGGGTCCTCAGTCTCTAACCCTCTCCTTCAGCATGTCCTCAGTCGCTAACCATCTCCTTCAGCGGGTCCTCAGTCTCTAACCCTCTCCTTCAGCATGTCCTCAGTCGCTAACCATCTCCTTCAGCGGGTCCTCAGTCTCTAACCCTCTCCTTCAGCATGTCCTCAGTCGCTAACCATCTCCTTCAGCGGGTCCTCAGTCTCTAACCCTCTCCTTCAGCATGTCCTCAGTCGCTAACCATCTCCTTCAGCGGGTCCTCAGTCTCTAACCCTCTCCTTCAGCATGTCCTCAGTCGCTAACCATCTCCTTCAGCGGGTCCTCAGTCTCTAACCCTCTCCTTCAGCATGTCCTCAGTCGCTAACCATCTCCTTCAGCGGGTCCTCAGTCTCTAACCCTCTCCTTCAGCATGTCCTCAGTCGCTAACCATCTCCTTCAGCGGGTCCTCAGTCTCTAACCCTCTCCTTCAGCATGTCCTCAGTCGCTAACCATCTCCTTCAGCGGGTCCTCAGTCTCTAACCCTCTCCTTCAGCATGTCCTCAGTCGCTAACCATCTCCTTCAGCGGGTCCTCAGTCTCTAACCCTCTCCTTCAGCATGTCCTCAGTCGCTAACCATCTCCTTCAGCGGGTCCTCAGTCTCTAACCCTCTCCTTCAGCATGTCCTCAGTCGCTAACCATCTCCTTCAGCGGGTCCTCAGTCTCTAACCCTCTCCTTCAGCATGTCCTCAGTCGCTAACCATCTCCTTCAGCGGGTCCTCAGTCTCTAACCCTCTCCTTCAGCATGTCCTCAGTCGCTAACCATCTCCTTCAGCGGGTCCTCAGTCTCTAACCCTCTCCTTCAGCATGTCCTCAGTCGCTAACCATCTCCTTCAGCGGGTCCTCAGTCTCTAACCCTCTCCTTCAGCATGTCCTCAGTCGCTAACCATCTCCTTCAGCGGGTCCTCAGTCTCTAACCCTCTCCTTCAGCATGTCCTCAGTCGCTAACCATCTCCTTCAGCGGGTCCTCAGTCTCTAACCATCTCCTTCAGCATATCCCCAGTCTCTAACCATTACCTTCAGCATGTCCTCAGTCTCTAACCATTACCTTCAGCATGTCCTCAGTCTCTAACCATCTCCTTCAGCATGTCCTCAGTCTCTAACCATCTCTTCCATCATGTCCTCAGTCTCTAACCATCTCTTCCATCATGTCCTCAGTCTCTAACCATCTCTTCCATCATGTCCTCAGTCTCTAACCATTACCGTCAGCATGTCCTCAGTCTCTAACCATCTCCTCCATCGTGTCCTCAGTCTCTAACCATCTGTCCCATCGTGTCCTCAGTCTCTAACCATCTCCTCCATCATGTCCTCAGTCTCTAACCATTACCTTCAGCATGTCCTCAGTCTCTAACCATCTCCTTCAGCATGTCCTCAGTCTCTAACCATCTCCTTCAGCATGTCCTCAGTCTCTAACCATCTCCTTCAGCATGTCCTCAGTCTCTAACCATCTCCTCCATCATGTCCTCAGTCTCTAACCATTACCGTCAGCATGTCCTCAGTCTCTTACCATCTCCTTCAGCATGTCCTCAGTCTCTAACCATCTCCTCCATCGTGTCCTCAGTCTCTAACCATCTCCTTCAGCATATCCCCAGTCTCTAACCATTACCTTCAGCATGTCCTCAGTCTCTAACCATTACCTTCAGCATGTCCTCAGTCTCTTACCATCTCCTTCAGCATGTCCTCAGTCTCTAACCATCTCCTCCATCGTGTCCTCAGTCTCTAACCATCTCCTCCATCATGTCCTCAGTCTCTAACCATTACCTTCAGCATGTCCTCAGTCTCTAACCATCTCCTCCATCGTGTCCTCAGTCTCTAACCATCTGTCCCATCGTGTCCTCAGTCTCTAACCATCTCCTCCATCATGTCCTCAGTCTCTAACCATCTCCTTCAGCATGTCCTCAGTCTCTAACCATCTCCTTCAGCATGTCCTCAGTCTCTAACCATCTCCTCCATCGTGTCCCCAGTCTCTAACCATCTCCTTCAACGTGTCCTCAGTCTCTAACCATCATTAAACATACATCATGTGATGTGGCTCCCCTGGGGATGTTGGGGGCCACAGTTGAGGCCTCCTTTTATCTAGTAAGTTACTTCAGACGGATCTAAAACATTTAAAGGGGACTGTGCCAACCAAACACTCGTCCTTAAAGCAGAGATATAGGCAAAGACGGGTTCACTACCTCCATGCTGTCTGAATTTAGCAGAAAGTAGCTCCCTAATACTGATCCATGACCCCCCAGGGGGCCCCTCTTCCGGGTGTGACGATCTCCGTGTGTTCCTGATCCCTCCTGGGAATTCTGGTACTTGACTGTAAAATGTGCCCCCCCCCCCAGTGACTCTGGATTAGGGACTCATTGACAAGGGCCCGTCTGCTTCCCACACTGTGCGGACCTCGGGTGTTACTCCCGGTCTGGATGTCCTGCCCCGGCTGCCAGCACGGCTCCCTTACATGCGTGTTCCTGTGACGTTCTCGTGTATCTTTCTTCCCATCGATTTCCTTTTTATATGAATTGTGAATTGCTTTTCCTTGCAGACGATCGCCCGGCAGCTGGCAGAGATTCTCCTGCGAGGGATGTGTGAGCAGAGTTACTGGAATCCATTTCAACAGCCGCCCAATCAGTCACCCTTAGACGACCCGCTGCATCAAGGCTACAACACAAAGAGCTATGCACTGAGCCGGAGGCCCTGGATCTATACGGGGGAGAGGTGAGTGTGCGGTCCCTTTGTGTCCTGACCCTCCGCTGACCCCCCCCTGTGCTTTCCTCTGAACATTATAAAGCTGAACTCCACCTTACAAGGAAAACTCCACCCTACACATCCAAAAATGATTTAAAAAAAGGAATATAGCGTGCACAAGTAGTACACAAGGCAGATTTATCAAAACTGGAGCAGACAGAATCTGGAGCAGTTGCCCATGGCAACCAATCAGCTTCTCTCTTCAGTTTGCTCAGGTTAGATTTGAAAATGAGACAAAGAAGCTGATTGGTTGCCGTGCAAATCTGCTCCAGTTTTGATACATTTTCCCCAAAGGGAACATTATTAAAATATTACCTTTTCATTTAAAACTGAAGCCGCTGTTCAATGCGATATGACGACCTCCGAAAATTTCACTTCCTGCTTCTGTGATTGGCTGACTGATTTTGACATGATCATCTGCACTAATATTCAAGTAAAACTTTTGACATCCCCTGCAACAGGAATTTCTTTTTTGGTGACATACTACCTAGGACCCCTGGACCCCCATCTCCTAACCATCCACCCCGGTCCCTCAAGGGGCCCTGCCCCTCAAAGGGCCCTGTCCCCCAAGTGGCCCCAGGGCAGGGCCCTCAAGGTCCTCGCGTGGTCCCGGGGCCCTGTCCTTAAGGGGGCTCTGTCCCTCAAGTGACCCCGGGACCCTGTCCTTAAGGGGGCCCTGTCCCTCCAGTAAGAGCGATTCATTCCTGTGTGCATGCAAGCCTTAAAGTCACATGTTCAGTGTGCAGTAGACCTGCGTTTATTATTGGGCCCGATGACTGCAGTCACGTGACATGTTCTTGGTTTGATATCCTGTCTTTCTCTCCTTCTTTGTCTTGCAGCATTTTCTGCCCCCAGGAGAACACGGAAGAGGCCCTGTTGCTGCTGCTGATCAGTGAATCCATGGTAATAGGATTACTTCAACTGTCACTCCCTCGCTAAAACCATAAGAGATGAAGGGATGGGAGAGATTTCACTTCCTGTCCCAGTGACACAACAGGAATAGAGTGGAAATCTCTACAATCCCCTGTCAGACAGTTGTCACCCGCACAGGTGTCCCCAATGGTAGAGTTCCCCTCCATTCCTGTTTCTGAAAACTGTAAAATTTTTGTCCTCCATCACTTTCTGTGACACACACACACACACACACACACACACACACACACACACAGCAGTAGAAGATATAATGAGTCCATGAGATAATGGGAAGGACCCCAGGAGCTGACTTACGCAGCACATTGGCTGCAGCGTTCTCTTCA